CCCCCTACTATTCCCAAGCAGGTTGTTTTTCATTTCTTTTCTCTTCCCCCCCCACCCCATTTCGTTTCTTTTCTAAAAAACGTTAATTGAATGGATTGCCATGATCATGCAACTGGGCTAAAAATAAAAATAAAAACAGTCTGAAAGGCATACTGGGAAGGGCATAGGGCAGGGAAGTAGGGCGTACGGAGGCTGGCGTGCGGAAGACACAGGCCGGGACAGAAGCAGCACAATGGCAGTTTGGAAGAGCTGTGCAATAAGGACTTGTCCCAAACCTGGGATTTTTGCACAAATGCTATTTGGTCATTTGAAGAACCAAAAGTAAAAAGCGGCACGATTTGGCAACTTTCTGCATGGGTTAATGTCACGTTATATTAACCCCGACGTTGTCCGAAAACAATCCCGCTTTTGCGGCTTTCCCCCGAATTTAAATCCCATTTCTGTGCAGGATTTGGGCGCTTCCCTCCCATGTGATAAACACCATACATGCTTCATGGAAGACAAGAAGGGAGAGAAACAGCCCAGACCAGCTGCTTCTTTAAGTTGCCTCCCCTCTTCCCTCTTTCTTTCCCCCTTTCTTTCCTCTTCCTCTGCCGAATTGAGTGTGAACTCCATTTGCACTTTGAATTCAGTTTGCAGAAACTGACGTAATCCAAGGACAAAGGAGGAAAGCAGGAGGAGGACAGCGAATCTGGGACATTTTAAGAGCTGCTGAAAAACTAGGGCAACAGAGGATTAATTGGGATGGTCCCTGCCAAACTGGAACAGTTGGAGGATGTGTTAATACAATAATAACACTGCAGGCCAATATGAAAATCCTCAAAAGTCATTAAGCATGAGCCAACCAAGCTCTTGCAGACATGACAAAGAGCGCACCAATTTGCATTGAAAACAAACATCAGCAAACCAGATTATAAACCAGAATCCAAATAGTAATAAGAAAGGCTAAAACCCCAACAAATATTAAAATTATAAGGCCTCCATCAATTACACCAGAATACAAGCGTAAGCCCTCAGTAAGACTAAGAATTGTCAACAACTGATACAGATTATAAATTGCAAATCTAAAACCAGACAATGTCTGGCAAATTTTCATAAAGATTAGCAGTTTGTTGAGGAGTGCTGCTTCACTTTCACAGCAGGGTTAGTCGATTTTGCCATTCGAAAAGCAATGTAACCATGTGGCCCATAAAGTTTCAGATCTTTTCTTCTTCAGAAGCAGAGCAGAATTTCATACACTAACAAAAATGGATCCAGTTTTCTAGCATCATATAGCCAAATGGGCATAGCCGGCATTGTCTAGGAACTTTGGAGATTATTGCACAAGGCTCTAGTGATGGAGTTGAAGTGGAATTACAACAACTGGTTCCTCTGTTTTCCACACAACATTGCCACTCATAGAATCATAGAATCATACAGTTGGAAGAGACCCCAAGGGCCATC